AGAAATTTCGAATGAAATGTCGTGTCTTGAGGATGAGATTCTGACTTTGAGTAAGTTTAGACAATGTTTAAGAGATGATCTTAGGCGTGAGCTTTTCCTTCGATGTGTCACTACTCTTGATCACGCTTATTCTTTAGCCCGAGATTACAAGTTGATTATCGGTACTCCACATAGAAAGTATGGTGACAACCATACACCTATCTCATCAGCGTCGCTTCCTCTTAAGTCTATCAAGAGATCTTCCCCATCTAATGTTCTCCCCGTGTTCGAAAATAAGGGTACGATTTCTGAAGTTCCAATTATTTCTTCTCACTTGCAGTGCTTCAACTGTAAGGACTCTGGTCACATCTCTTCCGAATGTCCTAACCGAGTCTTAGTTATTGAAGAACAAAAGAATATAATAGATGAGCGATTAGAAGATCAAGTTTATGAACCTAAACTCGAAGAATTTGATGACTTAGATGATAGTGAGAACACCTCCTTAAGTAGTATTCAGACTTTTCCTATGAATCTTGGTATTGTAGCCCTTGTTCCCGATATCTCTTTGTCAAGTGTTGTATGTCGTACCCTTACCCAACTGAAATGTGCTATTGATTTGCATAATCATGCAATTTTCAAGAAAAATCTTGGAAATTGGGATTTGATCGTCCCAACAGTTCAAATTCTATATAAAAATTCTGTAAATCAGTCAATAAGTATGAGTCCCTTCAAATTTATTCATGGTTATGAGCCTATGAAGCCTTTAGACCTTATTCTCATATCCCCACATGCTAGTGTGCATGTCAGCTGAGGATTTGTACATCATCTTCATGATTTATATATTGAGATCAATGGGCATGTTGGTCCAATTGCACATGTCATTGATCTTTTATTACATTTTGGCTACTATTCTACTTTAACTATTGAGGATTTCTTTACTTACAAACACCGTTTCAATTCATTTGATGATCATTTTCTATTTAGCTCTTTGTGTAACGCCCCGAAAATTAGAATAAAATTTAATTATTTTACATGCTATATTTTGTTATTTTGAAAAGTTGAGGGCTTAAGTCATATACGTGTTAACATCAAATTTTGAATTAAATATTTAGATATTGTTAAAGCGACGAAAAATATATCAATATGGGGATCGTTGGATAGCTCGTAATTAATTATATAAATTAAGCTCGAGAAAAAGTTAATTCGGATAAGTTATGATTAAGATATTGAGGTTTGAAGACATTATCACTTATTATAGTATAAACTGGTTGATTAAACTTATG